ACCTCCATGGATCTGCACTTTTGGCAGCCTGGAGATCTTTTTGCAGGGGACCCTGAGCCCGGGGCTCTGTGCTGCAACCCCTAAAGCCGCTGCATTAATCCGGCCCTGGTTGTGGGTGGCCATGGATCCAGTGTCTCGGCTCTCTCCCTCTCCCCAGTTTCTCTCCCACCTCCCAAAACGCTGCAGGAGGTTCAGGCCCAGCTGATGGACACTGCAGCCTGCAACACCCTCTACAACATCGACCCAGACCTGAAGACCAGCAAAATCTCACCAACTTGTTGAAACACTTTGGAGTCAAAGCTTCGCCCATGATCTCTGTGTAACCCACCAGGTGAAGGATTCATTCCCTGGGACCCTGGCTACTGTCACAGACTCTGGATTTCTTAGGGGCCAGTTTGTGAAGGTGTCCATAGCGACCAGCCAACATTCTCCACTAGAGTCTGTCTGAGGCAAAGTCCAAACCACATCAGCAGCAATGTGTCCCGTTGGTGCCCTCACAAGTTACCGCCACGTCGGGGCTCTGCCTGTTTTAGGGGAGCTCTTTTTTGCAAGAAGCATCACATTCCATGCGTCCGTTTTCTACATCCACCCAGCAGAAATTCACCCTTCACCTGGCTGAGGTTTTACACTCTGAAATGTCCAGTCATTTTAAGATGATGGCATGACCCTTTTCCGTGTATCTGGTAGAAGCAGCTGATCCCTGGACTCATCCCTCACCACTTCACGTCTATCGCTAGATGGCAGCAGAGAGCTCCTTCCCCCAGCACGCTTCAGGACAAGGCCGATGAAAGATTTCCGGTGACACTTTTTTTCAGCTGAAAAATGGCAATTCTCTGAGCTGTCTCGGCCAGGGGGGGAAGTCCCACAAATTGCAAAAGGTTTTGACGATCTATTTTACCTCCATTTTATGAAAGAAAGAGCACCAGGAACTCTACACCCACCTCTTTCCCTCCCAGAGCTGGGGAGAGAACCCAGGAGTCCTGGCTCCCACCCCCCCTGCTCTAACCACTAGACCCCACTCCCCTCCCAGAGCTGGGGAGAGAACCCAGGCGTCCTGGCTCCCACCCCCCCTGCTCTAACCACTAGACCCCACTCCCCTCCCAGAGCTGTGGAGAGAACCCAGGCGTCCTGGCTCCCAGCCCCCACCCGCAGTGGCTATTAACAGCCTCCCCTCGGGCTACACCCCTCCCAGGCCCTGGGAGCCAGTCTCCTGCGGGGTCAGAGCCCGGCTGCTGGGCAGGAGGAAAGAGAAACCAGCGGAGGTTTTACTTTCGTTTCTGCCGGAGAAAATTCCGTGTAGACAGAGCGAGCTGGGGGCAGGTAACAGATGGTGGGGAGGGGGGAACTACCATCCCCCCGGGGGGGCAAGATCTCCCCCTCCAGTCGATTCCCCCCACCCAGGGTCAGATTTGTCCCCCTCCAGGCTCCGCCCCCCTTAGAAGTCTGTGGATCTCTCTAGATGGGATGATGCTTTGGTCCCGTCTCAGATTGTAACATGCACCAGCACCAGCAGCCAGGCCAGCTGGGAGCACCGCCCCTCCCACCCCCCTGGGCCAGCCCCACGTGAGCCCTGGGTCGGGACAGCTCGAAGATGGGGGGTGATTTGGGCCGGCCCCCGGCTGTGTGAGGACAGCAGGACAATGGAACGGACCGACTCCCAGGACGGCTTGGGAGGGGGTGGACGCTCCTTCACTGGAGGGTGTCAGAAAGAGGCTGTGTAACCATCTGTCCTGGGGGGTTGAGACACAACAAATCCTGCATCTCGGCAGGGGGTGGGACTAGATGACCCTTGGGGTCCCCCCATCCCTGTGGCTCTCTGCTGAGAAGCCCCCTGCACTTCTGATCCGGGGCCCTTGTCTCGCCTCCCCTCCACCACGAGGACCAGAGATTTGCAGTTAAATTGGCAGCAGAATGTTTACACCCGTTTCCCCATTTTGACCCCCGGGCGGTTTATCTGACGTCCGAGCTGTTTCCCTTTGGAGGAGAACTCGGCACTACGAACCCGGCCTGCTCCTTGCTGCAGTCCCCGTTCTGTGATATCTGGGATGCCGCCCGGGTCATGTCCGAAAGTTTAGACAAAAATGCATCGATTCTCAAGCCAGACGGGACCGTTGTGATCACCTCGCCTGAGCTCCTGCACTACCAGCCTTGGAAGGATTGGAGTTGTATCGGTAAATGTCGGTTTCATCGTAGCTGTTCGCAGTGTTAAAGCCGAGTTGGTCCCAGGGTATAAGAGATGAGGTGGGGGAGGGAATGTAATTTGTTGGAGTAGCTTCTGTTGGTGAGAGAGACAAGCTTCCGAGCTACACAGAGCTTCTCTTCTTCAAATCTTCTTCTGGTCTTCTTCAGCCCAGACCCGAACCAGAGCTTTGGGTAGGTCACAAGCTTGTCTCTTCCGCCAATGGAAGATGGTCTGATAAAAGAGATTGCCTCCCCCACCTTGATTTCACTGCACACACACAGCGACTGCTGCTTAAATATTCCCATCAGTAAGAATCGAAATGTGCAGACAGGCACAGTGAGAAAAAGACGTGTTGAGACCCCGTTAGACTTTGCTTTAAGGCTATTGACTTTGTACTTTTTTGATGAGGGATGTCGACATTTTGTATTTAAACAGTTCTAAAGCTTTAGCTTTTAGCATCCACTGTCATTATCTAATTATTGTCTGATCCCCACATTGTCTGACCCCCCCCCCTCCATAATTTCCCACAACTCTGAACATTTCAATCAATAAAACAATGTTTAAAAATGCCCAAATCCCACAATTTTGCACAGGGGCACCTGGGGACCCAGCCAGGGGCTGTGCCTGGACTCTGTTCAGCCACAGGAGGATTAAAGCCCATGGGGCCCGGTGTATTAAGACCCTCTGTGACGTTGTGCAGTCTATATGGTTTTATAAAAACTTGATAATATGTCAATATAATGTAACTGGGATAGTTTTAGAGAAAATACGGTAATAAGTGAATGTAACATAACTGGAATATGCTTCATGCAAAAGGTCTCTTGTAAGGTATCATTACAAAGCTTATAATCTACTGAGTGTGATCATCTGATTTGTATAAATGTACCACTCTTGTATCTAAAACTAGAAATATAAAATGTAACTCTGAGGGCCTATTGTAATTATGTAAAGTGTGGGCCATTAATGATGGTTTGGAATCTTGATGACTCCCATTGTCTGCAGATGGCTGTATTTACCTGTGAGTCTCCCTGTATATGTGTGTGCTGGCAAGTGGGCAATGAAGTCTTGCAGTGACATGTGATCATGTCACCTGAACTGGAATCCATCTTTAACCTGGTGCTTTTCCAGTGAGGGGGGGTGGAAACCCAGAGGGACAAAGGGTTCCCGCCTTATGCAAAAGATATATAAAGGGGTGGAAGAGAACAGAGGGATGGAGGAGCCATCATGAAGAATCCCCTAGCTATCACCTGAGCTGGAACAAGAGCTGTACCAGGGGAAAGAACTGTGCCCAGGCCTGGAAGGTGTCCAGTCTGAGAAAAACTTACTGAAGCATCTCTGAGGGTGAGATTATCTGTATTCAGTTTGATTAGACATAGATTTGCGCATTTTATTTTATTTTGCTTGTGACTTACTTTGTTCTGTCTGTTACTACTTGGAACCACTTAAATCCTACTGTCTGTATTTAATAAAATCACTTTTTATTTAGTAATTTACTCAGAGTATGTATTAATACCTGGGGGAGCAAACAGCTGTGCATATCTCTCTATCAGTGTTATAGAGGGCGAACAATTTATGAGTTTACTCTGCATAAGCTTTATGCAGGGTAAAACGGATTTATCTGGGTTTAGACCCCATTGGGAGTTGGGCATCTGAGTGCTAAAGACAAGCACACTCCTGTGAGCTGTTTTTAGGTAAACTTGCAGCTTTGGGACAAGTGATTCAGACCCTGGGTCTGTGTTGGAGCAGACGGGAGTGTCTGGCCCAGCAAGACAGGGTGCTGGAGTCCTGAGCTGGCAGGGAAAACAGAAGCAGGGGTAGTCTTTGCACATCGGGTAGCAGCTCCCAAGGGGGTTTCTGTGATCCAACCCGTCACACCCTCACACCGTAGCCTGGTGAGTGTCCAGCAGGGAAGCTCTACCGGGGCGGTGGGTGAGTGACAGTGGGCAGAGAACAAAGCCCGTCACGGTGACCAGCACTGTCTCGTTGTTCCCTGGTGTTTCCCCGTCTGTCTGTCTCCAGCTGGTATCTTTTGTCTTTGATTGTAAGGCCTGGGACTGTCTCATAACGTGTGTCTGGGCAGCATCTGGCAAGATGGGGCCCTGATCTGACTCAGGGTATGTGCAGCAGCTGGCACGATGGGGCACCGATCTCAGTCAAGGAGATCCATGCAGCACCTGGCGTGATGGGGTTCCCAGTTGGTAGGGAGGGTCTGCCCAGTATCCAGCGTGCCGGGAGCCCCATTCTCCTTTGGGGGGCATATATGCAGCGCCTGGTGCGATGGGGGCCCTGATCTCGGTTGGGTGGGTGTGTGGAGCGCCCAGCATGACAGGGGCCCTGATCTCAGTTGGGGGCATCTGTGCAGAGCCCAGTGCAATGAGAGGCCCCTAGGTTCTGATAACCTGTGCAGCCCGTGGGAGGCTGTTGCCATGGCAGGACTGGCCCTAGCGGGAGGTGGCACCAGCTGCTGCGGGGCAGGTCGCGGTTGCTGCAGGGAGGAGACAGAGTTTGCAAAGCCGATTTATTGATGATTTTCAGAGCACAAGTCATGGGATCAAAGTGGCTGCAGGGCCCGTCCCTGTCAGCTTCCCAGTCACCCCCAGGGGGTGCTGCAGAGCTGTAGGAAAGGCTGGATATAACCCCCCACCCTCTGCCCTCACCTTCCCCATAACACCCCTGTGCTTCCATCCACCAGCCTCTCCCAGCCGCGTCCCACAGACCCCAGCAACGCGGGGCCCACACCCGGTGTCAAGGGCGGGGGGTCTATGGACATCCTGAGGGGGGTCGGCCTGGCAGTGCCAGGGGCAGGTCCGTGCGTGGCTCACAGGGCTGTGAGGAGGAGCGAGGCGAGTATCAGCGCAGTTAGAGAAGCGACAGCAGAAGGGCCCACGCCGTTCACATGCCCCTGGATCCAGGTGTCATAGGCCGTCACCCGGGTGAAGACCCCAGGGAACGTGGGATGAGAACAGACAATTCCACTCACATTTCTGGTCATAAACCAGCTGACGACTCCAGCCAGGTACCAGGTGCCGTCCTGCTGACAGGCCAGAGGCCCCCCGGAGTCACCCTAGAGAGAGAAAAATGGGGGTCAGGGCCCCAATTCCCATCGCTGTCACCGTGAGAGCGAAGGCTGCATGAGGGTCACAGAACATACCCGGTGAGAGCAACAGGAGCAGCGACCTGTGTCAGAGGGCTTTGGGCATCACCTGGTACTATAGGGTCCTGATCTTGGCCAGGGTCTGTACAGCACCTGGCACACTTGGACTATGGTCTCAGTTGGGATCAGGGCAGCACCTGGCACGCTGGGGCCATGGTCTCAGTTGGGATGAAGGCAGCGGTGCTGTAATACACACAATCAGCAGGGAGGAAAGGCTCTCACATTGCAGAATCCCTTGTTGCTGTCCATGTACCCGGCGCAGATCATGTCGCCTTTGATTCTCTCTGGACCCAGAGGTGAGTGTGGAATCAGTGTGTTGTAACGATCGTTGCAGGTCGCTGTACTAATGATGGGAACCTTCAGCTCCTGCAGGGTCTGGGGTCGTGGGAGAGGCTCTGGAGGGGGAAAACCGGGGGGGGGGGGGGTATTCCACTAGCGTCCGGCGCTCCCAGCACCCAGCGCACTGGGGTCCGGACGACCCATTTGTGCTTGTGGGCATCTTCCCCTGTGCCTGTGCCATTCTGGAGACGAGTCTGGCTGCCAAGGCATATTTCTGCTTGTGTGACTATCTCCTATTATGGCCAAGTGCAGGCGTGTCCCTGTGTGCGTCAGTGCTGCACTGCAAGGAATACACACACACACAATCCCCTCCAGCTGGGAGCAGCGCTGTCCCCCCCACACACACACACGGCCCTGATCATCCGGGACCCCAGGCCTCTAACTCAGGAGCTCAATCGATTTAACTCAACAGAGAGAAGGTTAAGGGGTGACTTGAGCCCAGTGTGTGGGTATCTACAATGTGAAGAAGGGTTTAATAACAGGCTCTTCAGTCGAGCAGGGGAAGGTCGAACATGATCCAGTGGCTGGATCTTGAAGGCAGACAACTCAGACTGGAAATAAGATGTCAGTTTTTAACAGTGAGCAATTTGCCAAGGGTTCTCCATCATGGGCAATTTGTAAATCCAGATGGGACGGCCATCTAAGAGATCTCGTCTAATTCAAGCAGAAATTCATTCAGGGACGTTCTCTGGCTTGTGCTTTCCAGGAGGTCGGCCGAGATGATCACAGTATCCATGACCACCAGAGCCCTCCAGTCCATAGGAAGGTTCAGGGCAACTGCCCTGGGCCCCGCGCTTTGGGGAGCCCGGTGGGGCCCAGAGCGGTCCAGTGAGATTAGTGCGGGCCTGGCACCGGCAGCAGGGGTCGGGCCTGCCTTCCCGCACTCACTGGCAGTGGTGGGAAATGGAGCGACATGGCTGGGAGCCAGTGGTTCCACTCCTGCTTCTGGCACCAGGCCCCGTGCTAACTCTACGGACTGCGTTGCTCAGGGAAGGGGTTTGGGGGGGAAGGGGGGAATGGGGCTGGGGAAGGGGCAGAGCAGGGGTGGGGGCAAGGCCTGGGGTGGAGGGAGGTTGTCCCAGGCCCCACACCCCCCTAGGGATGGCCTTGATGACCACGGCTGCTCCCTGGTGCTGTCCAGATCCTAGATTTATGGCAACTGCTCTCCCCAACCCCATAACAATTATGGCCTCCCAGTGCCTCTCTGAGACCTCTGACACTTACTGGTCACTTCAACCCGTCCCCAACCAGTGACCGAACACATGTTCCCTACGGGGAACTGGCGGGAGGCCCCCGGCAGTGAGATGGGCCAGATGAACTGCGTGGATTCCACTGGCTTCTTCAGCCTCACCAAGGCGATGTCAGCAACGAAGCTCTTGTCATTGTAACTGAGGTGGGAGACGATCTCCTGCACCTCGGCCAGGACTGGTTTTGGGGAGAGAGGGAGGAGCTGGTGCGCTCCCAGCACTAACTGGTACTTGGAATAGGGCACGGAGCTGGAGGAGAGAAAAGGAAAAGGGGAAGACAGTGTGATACTGAGATGCAGCCACCTCTGGGGCGGGCACAGCAGCAGAACAGCTGCGCGGCACCATGGGGATGGCTTGAGCAGGAGGTCAATGAGGGGGCAGAGGCCACAAACAGATGTTGCTGCAAGCCAAATAAGAGGAACCTGCTCCTCCCCCCCACCCCGCCTGGGTTACTCACGGTTCGAAGCAGTGAGCAGCTGACACCACCCACTGGGCTGAGATGAGGGATCCTCCGCAGATGTGGGCTCCATTTACTTGCACACTGACCTGCCAGGGCCATCGACCCTCCTGTGCATCCTGCCCCCCTATGATACGGCTGAACACTGCACAAAACAGGGGTGCCATGTTAACATGGGACAAAGTGCACATCTTCCACCCAGAGCCAGGGATAGAACCCAGGAGTCCTGGGTCCCACCCACATCCGCACCCGTAACCCACTAGACCCCACTCCCCTCACAGAGCAGGCGATAGAACCCAGGAGTCCAGACTCTTTACCTGGCTGGTCTTGACTCTCCTCTGCACCTGCGGAGGAAATGGAAATGTTGGAGAGACATTACAGAGTCAGGGCCATTGGGGGAGGAGTAAGATTAGGGTCCGATTGGGGAGGGTGGAAAGCAGGGAAAAGAGCTGGAATTAAACCCCCATCCACTGTCCCATAGCTCCTTCCATAATCTACAGACTCTGCCTCAAATCATAGGTGGCTACTATGCATCAGTAAGTTTCAGAGTGAACGTTGACATGAGATGAAAGGGGGCTGCTCCCAGCTCTCTCAGGGCCACATGTCCTCCCTCCACCCTGCAAAGCCCAAGGGCGGGAGAGGATTTGGGTGCAGAAGCTGAGAGGGTGCTGGGGCCATGGCTCCTGTGGGAGTGAGTCAGAGGGGCTGGAGGGGTCATGCCAGCCCTGGGGGGGGTGTCTCAGATGTGGGCTTAGGATCCCTTCATTCACAGCGGGGCCTGGGGACCGGCGCATCATTTCTGCCCCTCAGTGCACAGAACCTGTTTTGCCATGTCCCCACCCACCCTTGAACCCAGGACCTGGGAAAGAGACAGAGCCAGTCCACTGGGGCAGGATCTTCCCCCTCAGTCGATTCCACCCCCAGGGGGGCAGGATTGTCTCATCCAGTCGATTCCTCCCCTCAGATCTATTCCCCTCCCCCCCAGGCTGCAGGGTCGTCCCCTCTGGTCTGTTCCCCGCGGCTGTGCATCGCTCTGGCTCCCTTGGTTCCTCTTACCCTGCGCTGAGGACGGCAGCACGAGCAGTACCAGCAGCAGGAGCAGCGCGGCCAGCTGGGAGCAGAACCCCCCCATCATCCTGCCCCACAGAAGCTCTGGGTCGGGACGGCCCAGCTCAGCCTCCAGCCAGCAGAGCAGACAGCCCCTGG